TGAATATAAATTTAAGGACTAAAAGATTAAAAGAAACATAGTTAGAGTACTAAATTTAAAAAGATTTCCGTTAAGATTTCTGTTAACTTTAACTGCCTAGATGAAATTGAAATAAATGTGAAAGATAATAGATAGAATTGAAACAATTCAAAGATAATAGATGAAACTGAAATTAAACTGAAAGTTAATAGATGATTTTTTGAATTTAGCCCTTTTTATATTATGGTTTTGCTTCTTTTATAAAAAAATTCTAGGCCACATATTGATGTCTGAAAAATCAAACTTCCTCGAGTCCTGACAGACTATTTTGGCCAGAAATGAAATCCTCTAGACCATTAGATCTGCAACAGCAGAGGGTAAAAAGGGTAGTATACCCTACAAAAAAATTATAAATAATCCACAGTCACATTTTGCCGCTATCCTGCCAAGACACGCTGCCTATCTCCCAACGAAACAATGGCTGCCGTTACCGCGAGGACCACATTCATCCCTCCCTCTACATTCCGTTCCTCGTCCAGGTCCCCATTTCCCACCTCCAAATCTACTCTCCCCTTTTCCTTAATCCCCCAAAAGCAATCTCTCCGCCACTTCCTCCACATTTCCAATTCCCTCCATCAGTCTGCCGCCGTTACCACCACCACCATCCCCACGACAACTGAAACGCCGCTACAAGATTTCGCCTCTCGTTTTGCTGCAGATGAGCCCCGCAAAGGAGCTGATATCCTTGTGGAAGCTCTCGAGCGTCAGGGGGTCACTACTGTCTTTGCCTACCCTGGCGGCGCCTCCATGGAGATCCATCAGGCACTCACCCGCTCCAACGTTATAAGAAACGTACTCCCGCGGCACGAGCAAGGTGGTGTTTTTGCTGCTGAGGGCTACGCACGTTCTTCTGGCGTGCCTGGCATCTGCATCGCCACTTCTGGCCCTGGTGCTACCAATTTGGTTAGTGGCCTCGCTGATGCGCTACTTGACAGCGTCCCCCTTATTGCCATCACAGGTCAAGTCCCTCGCAGAATGATTGGTACCGACGCCTTCCAAGAGACGCCCATTGTTGAGGTAACGAGGTCTATCACCAAGCACAATTATCTTGTTCTTGATGTGGATGACATCCCTAGGATTGTTAATGAGGCTTTCCTGTTAGCCAGCTCAGGGCGGCCTGGCCCTGTGTTGATTGATATACCAAAGGATATACAGCAGCAACTTGCTATTCCTAACTGGGAACAGCCTATAAGATTGCCAGGATATATGTCTAGGATGCCTAAGCCTCCAAGCGAAGTTCATTTGGAACAGATTGTTAGGTTGATTTCTGAGTCCGAGAAGCCAGTATTGTATGTGGGTGGTGGGTGTTTGAACTCCAGTGAGGAGTTGAGGAGGTTTGTGGAGCTTACTGGGATACCTGTTGCCAGTACTTTGATGGGTCTTGGGGCATTTCCTACTGCGGATGAGTTGTCCTTGCAAATGCTAGGGATGCATGGAACTGTGTATGCCAATTATGCGGTGGATAGGTGTGATCTGTTGCTCGCTTTTGGAGTTAGATTTGATGACCGTGTAACAGGAAAAATTGAGGCTTTTGCTAACAGAGCAAAGATTGTTCACATTGATATTGATTCAGCTGAGATTGGGAAGAATAAGCAGCCACATGTGTCAGTTTGCTCGGATGTGAAGTTGGCATTGGAAGGCATGAATATGATATTGGAGAGCAAAAGGGATAAGCTTAAACTTGAATATTCAACTTGGAGGCAAGAGCTAAATGAGGAGAAGGCGAAATATCCACTGAGTTATAAGACTTTTGGGGAAGCTATTCCTCCTCAGTATGCAATTCAAGTTCTAGATGAATTAACTGGTGGAAATGCAATTATAAGTACTGGTGTCGGTCAGCATCAAATGTGGGCAGCTCAATTTTACAAGTATAAGAGGCCTCGTCAATGGCTGACGTCAGGGGGATTGGGAGCTATGGGTTTTGGATTGCCTGCTGCCATTGGAGCTGCTGTTGCTAATCCTGGTGCAGTTGTTGTGGACATTGATGGAGATGGAAGTTTTATCATGAATGTCCAAGAGTTGGCAACTATCTGTGTGGAGAATCTTCCTATTAAGATATTGTTGTTGAATAACCAACATTTAGGAATGGTTGTTCAGTGGGAGGATCGATTTTATAAAGCAAATAGGGCTCATACATATCTTGGAGACCCATCAAAAGAGTCTGAAATATTCCCTAATATGTTAAAGTTTGCTGAAGCTTGCAGAATACCAGCAGCTCGTGTGACAAAGAGGAAAGCTCTCAAAGCAGCTATTCAGAAAATGTTGGACACACCTGGACCCTACTTGTTAGATGTAATAGTTCCCCATCAAGAGCATGTCCTGCCTATGATCCCAAGTGGCGGGGCTTTTAAAGACATGATCACAGAGGGTGATGGAAGAACAGAGCAGTGAACTCCATTAGCATTAAATATGTTGTCTTGCAATGTATTTTCATTAATTGAGAGTTTAGGTGTAGATTAGAAGTTACGATAGTTTTTTCAAGTCTATATGTTAGTTTTGTTATGGTACTTGATGTTTAATTTAGAAGAAGTTGCTTGTGCTACTTTAATTAGTGTCTTTTCTTTTCTTTTCTTTTTTCTTTCTTTTTTTTTTTTTTCATTTTTTGGCATGAGTTTTGTTCCCCACTTCTGTAACTCTCTCTTAACATGTGCAATCAGCCCCTTCTTTAATTCTGATCTGTTGTACAGAGCCATTTGTAGAGTAGAATATTTTTGTGCTACACTGCTGTTGGAAGGTTCTTTCCTCAGGCTGATGGGCTTGTGCTTGCATTGCCTTAACCTGTGTTAAGCTAGTGTAGCACATCGCCTAGGATTATTACTACAAGCGCTCTGTTTTTTTCTGTTATCAACTACTCTCCCCCCCCCCCCCCCCCCCCCCCCCCCAACCCAAAAAAAAAAATTAAAAAAAAAAGGAAACAGTTATATCTTATATCCTTTCTAGTTCTTACTATTAACTCCCCTGGTCATCTCCTGTTTAGCACATTTTGAATAGGAAGAAGGTTTAATAAGTTTTTGACTAATTTATATAAAACTTAAATAGTTTGAGTTTCTCAATGCTTTTAAATCCCATGGACAGCAGTGGTTCTTTCGAATTCATAAGATATTGTCAACGATTGAAAACTTGCAGATGAAAGCATGATTGGTGATATTTCTGATGCAAGGCTTGATTTTTTTTGTGTGAGGTACTAGGTATGTGGTAACTAGTCTTGTAATATCTTTTTCAAGTAATTTTCTGCTGAGCTGTTAGTTGTCAGATAAGAATTATGCTCACTTTTGCTTCCCTTGATTCTTGCAATATTCAGTATGGATGGGATCAGAATCTCAGTATCATGTCTAGTTTCAGTTATGTGTAAAGCAGTCATAAGAAATGGTATTAATTTGATGTCATTGGTTCTTGAAAATGTCTCTGATGCATTAAAAGAGTCACTTATGTTTCCTTACCAAGGTAGCTGTGTCTCTATTTTTCAGCTATATAAGTTCTATGTTTTAACAGTACCTCCATGCAACTAGGATGAAGGGGATTGCTTTATCAAATTTATAGTTCTAAAGGGATACGGAATAACAAGTTATGGTATTGCCTTGTTTTGCTCTTCATGCTTTGAGTTTCATTATTTGTGATAACTGATATGCTAATTATGTGGTGGAATATGTCAAATTGCTGTCAGTGGCAATTTGAATAGGTGTATTCGTCAATATCCAGAAGTTTAGTGGTAGAAGCATTGCAACTTGGGATCTGCAGATTCTGCACCATATAACCTTCTAGGAAATGTCCAGGTTTCTGGCCACGCCTATGTTCAGTGATACTCCAAATACACAAACTAATGTTATCTTTGCGTCCATTGTCCTCTGAAAAAGGTTTAAAGTTTATATTATTGGTCAGGTTCAGAGCTCTGGAGGTTTTTTTATTACAGCTATTAGTTGAACCTAAGTTAACTCATAGTGCCCGTAGAGGGTGCGCTTATTGAATTTTCTAGTTTTTCTGATCATGCATTTTCATAGAGGATTCTGGACTATCAGTTGAAATTTGTTTAGTCATCAGTTTTGATCATGATTTCTTGACTCGGTTTTCAGTTAGGCTCATAAGACACTAAATGACTATATTTGTTCCCATCCCTATCAAACTTTTTAATATTTGAAGTTCACTTGATTAGAAAGAGCACTCGTTGTGTAGTGCCAGGCTATTGGAAGGAGCCTTATGGCTTAAATCGGAAAAGAAGTGTGATTGCGGCTGTAACATAAGCCTAGAGAGACAACTTAAACTTGAGCTTTTAATGGCCCGTAGACCTTAAGTCAACAAGTTGTTAGACCAGTTGTGTAAGAGATTACCATGCTGATTCAGATATTTAATGTCATGCTGGCCTCTTTTTGTCTGTAATCTTTATGCAGGTCAGTTTCATGGGTTAAAAAGAATTCAAAGCTTTATATGATTTTCCCCTACTATGGATTAAAAAGCTTCTCCTCTTTTTGATTCCTAGGTTGAATAACTTTGACACGGTTTGGATGAGATTTTCATTTAGACGCTGCAGAACTGGGAGAGGATCAAAGTTCTATCACATTCAACTAATCTTGCTATCTTAGAACAAGGCCTCAGCTTTAATGAAGTTGCTGATTTGGAATCTGATAAAGTACTTCACAAAACTTGCGACAATGTGATCATTCATGCAATTTAATCTTTTAGATTCATGATTTGATGCATTCATTTAACAGGTTATTCCTTACCAAAATCTTTTTATTTCTTTGATACTCTTAAATGCAGACAGGCAGATATTGCTCAACTATTTTAAAGATCTTATGCATTCACAAAGAGCCACCTCCTTTTCACTCGACCTGAGATGAAGCTGTTGTAGTATCAAAGGATTTCTTCCTCACCAGAAGACAAGTTATGCTTGAAGGACGAGCATGCTTGTTCTCTAGACTATACAACACAAAGTCTGGCCGATGAAGTGCAATATTCAACCGATTCTTGCCTGTAACTAAAGAAGTAGCATCAAGCAGAACATGCCATGAATTCCTATGAGCTTCTGAAATCCAGTGCATAGAATACCGTGTCTCATTCACTTCAGCTGGATAAGAGAATAACCCTTTTGGGCTCCGCTTACACTTCCTCCTAAAATATTGGCTAAGTTGTGATCCCTTGATCCTCAAATCCAACCAAGACTCAGGTGCCAAGATTACTTTTGCTTCCTTGTAACTGGCAAACTCCCGTATGCAATCCATTCCTTCCCCGAGGATGCTCATATAGAAGTTCCCTCGAAAGAAGGGATAACTCTCTCCTACTAACATCATGGCATCCTTGTAATTTGAATTGAACAGAACAAGGTACTCATTATCAGGCAGCCCACAGTACTTGAAAACTTTGTTCCGAGCTTGAATTTCGGGAATTGAGATGAAACTTCCAGGAAAGGAGGATTTCTTGGTGAGGATATCTAGAAGTCTTGACGGCTCCAATTGAGTCCTATCCAGGTCAGGATGATTGCTCCCAAAGGAGGGTGTGGACTCCCTAAAATTGCCCCTTGAAGATTTTCGCTTGTCATCTGGTGATTCAGGAGATTCTTCGTTGACACAAAGACTGGAGAGATCTATCATTTCTCCTTCAACAAGGCCAGCATACTGAGGGTATTTTGCCAAGACATACTGTTCAACGTATTGCATCTCTGCTGGTGTAATTGGACCTGACCATCTTAGATCAAGACCCTCTCCATGGAGTTTCGATATGGCTTCGGCTACTATGTGTGCAGGAATAACAGTATGTGTTTTCTGTTCATGTTTCATATTTAGTGAAACAATCAAATTTATTAGATGCCGACAATTTGCAGAAACTTCTAAGACAAAAGAAAGAAAGGAAGTTGACTCAGAATTTTACCTTAATAACCATGCTGCTTGGTCTTCCATTTTCTGCTGCTGACTTGGATATAGATGCAAGATGGGGATTTTGGGGTTTTCTTTCCATCATGTCCTATTTTGTTGTCAATTACATGAATCAAAATTCTTGGAAGATTTTACTGAAAACTTAAACTTTACAGGATAAGTTACCAAATCATAGGTACTTACCTTTGGTCCAGCGTGTGAAATCATCTGATGTTCAGTGTTCTTGGCCGTGATACCTTAAATATTATTTGCTTACAAGTTTTGAAGATATGTCTCTAGGCCAACAAACAGGACTTGGGAAAGATTGAGGAAGACAAGAGATGAAAAGGTAGTGGAAAATGGAGGTGATGACCAGAAAATATGGGAAAACAATATGTAGAACCAAAGATAGATAGAATTGAGGGCAGAGCAATCCAAACCTAAATAAAATCAATTCTAGACATGAAAGAGTTGCGGGTCTTGGAAATGGGTAGGGAGAAATTGGGAGGAATGAAAAAAATAAAATGGGGCTAGTTTGAATAGAATAGAAAGTCAAACTGAAACATTTCTTGCAGAATATATGGTTCTAAATCTAGGGTATTAAGGAAATTAATCAACTAATGGTGATTAAATATATGCTGACTGTGACAACAGCAATTAAAAAACAGAAATCCTTGAAGGAGTGGGGAAATTTCTTCCCCCGATTGCCACGGTTTAAATAATATTTATTCAACCTGTATCACCTGGTCATGGCCAAACCCTGCTTAACAATTGGTTTGGCTCTCATTTTAAAACCTATTAATCCGACTATAAGATTGATCAAAATAAAGGCAAATTCAGTTTAGGCTTATATGTAATGAAAACAAAACTGAAAATATATTTAAGTACAGATAAAACGTCAGCTAGACCGTGACAATTTGGGATATTGATTTCCAGGAAGTTTAGCGAGAAAAGAATCTTAATCCAGGCTGGAGACTAGGGTTGGAATTGGACGACGCTTTCTGTGAATCATTATAACAACGTTAACTGTTACCGTGGGAACTGAACTTCAACAGTTGATTATAACAGTGCATTGGCTCTGATGTTTATGTGATCTTGAGTGTTGTTAATTTGTTATCCCCAACTAGATTTGAATTTCTAGTATAAAAGATTTTAAGTATTTTCAATTTGTGAGTTGTAGGAAGTGAGTCGAAGTCAAAAACTTTTAACTTTGAGCAGTTCAGCACTTTTAACTTCAAGCAGTTTAGCAAATATGATGAAGACAATTGTTGCTCGTCTCTAGATTTGATTATAGATCCTCAGAAAAAAAAAAAAAAAAGGAAGAAGAAGAAGAAGAAAGATTTGATTACAGAAAATAGTCAAGCAAACCCAATAACGTTTAGGGCTAACTTTAGCATTTCATTGAGATGACCATAAATTTCTTAACCAAGAAACCCTGGAGATGAGGCTTTTGTCTTGTGGGATATGACAAGGCCTTGAAAGATACAACCGTGTAATCTTTAGGGTGGTTTTGAAACTACCCTTGATTTGTTTCTCTGTTTCTTCTCAAAACAATGTCATTCAATTCGGAAGAAACAATGCTTAGAAGATATACTGTTTATTGTTGCTTGGGACAAGAACTTCCAAATAGACAAGGTCATAAGTATGCTTATTCTATTTGCAAATTGGCATTGTGATGATGGAAAGTACCAAATATTTTTATAATTAAGAAAATAATTATGGGGAATGTTATGTTAGGCAGCTTCCTGGCTAAGAAAAACTTATTAAGACCCAACATCAGTTGAATCTAAAGAGACTATAGTTTGCATTAGTTAAACCATAAATTTGGCAATTATTTGAGGAAATAATCAACTGTTCATTCCTATTTTTATATGTAAAGTTGTCTGTCGCTTCATTGAAGCTTTCAGTATGTGAGGTTTCTTTGAAGCCCCTCCTGAAAAGGACTCAAAGGGGTCCGATGATTGTTGGAGATTGTGAATTTAATAATCTTTTTTACTCTTACATTCATTTCGTTTACAGCTGCACCTAAAACCAAGATAGTTAATACCATACCGGCATGCGTATCGGTTTTATTATTGAAACGGTACGTATCGGATATCGAAATTTTTTGCATATTGTTTTAGATTTATTGTTATAAATATATATAGTTTTATAAATTAAATATCAAATTTTAAAATAAGATAGAGACACTAATGTTTAAAACCATTATATTTCTATAAATTGAAAACAAGTTTAAAATGACCATTTTTAGTCCCTCAACTTCTAATATATGCATATTTTTCGTCTATCTACTTTAAGTTAAGAAACTAAAAATATATATATTTAGACAAACTTAATAGAGTAATTGATAGAAGAACTAAAAAAAACATTTTTCATAGTTGATGGACTAAAAAAGTACATTAAAAAGTTAAGGTTAAAACCTCATTTTGGTCCCTGAACTATTGTACGGACCCTTGATTTAGTCTCTAAACTAAAAAATCCCTGATTTGGTTCATACTGTTTACCATTTTAACCTCGATTTGGTCCTTCCGTTAAATATCCGCCTATGTGTCTTGTTACTTAACGGGGAAAATGATGACATGTCAAATATTAATACACGTGGAAAACAATAAGACCAAAAAAAGTGATGACATGGAAAAAATAATAATATAAAAAAATATTATGAAAAATAAAACTTAAAAAATTCTTTTTTTTTCTTTCTTTTTCCTTCTCTTT